AAGGCTTTTGGGTGGATGGGATAGCAAAATGTGGGACATTTGTAGATGTTGGAAGGGAATCAGCACCATCGCCACCTCAGTTTCCGTTTCCAGAGGTATGTGACTATTTACAGTTATGACTGTATTAAAACCCGTTCACTTCCACACTCATTTTATCAGGCAAACAGAAAACCTGCTGGCATTGTGATTGTTTTTATTTGTACACTGGAAAATCAGCACTGTGAAACACTAAAACATTATACTGATCGAAGTGAACCAATCAGAAAAGCTTCACACCTTCCCTCTTCAAATCTCCAGGGTCATATTAAAAGCCTACACCAAGGCAGCTTTCTTGGGTCAGATTTGACCGACGTAATCTGTTTTTATGCTGGCAGTTGCAGTGAAAACAGTGGAGGGTCAAAGAATGGCCCCAGAAAACTACACTAGTGGTTCCTGGAAAATTTGGAAACACACCTAAAAGTATTCAGTTCAGTGACAAGGATTGATATGTATTTATGTTCTTTTTCCAAGATTCAACTGGTGGACATGGAGTTGGTTTTACGGGAAGCTAGAGCAGCTTGCCAATGTCACCATTAAAGAGCAGGAGGAAAAACGGCAAGTTCCTACTTCATCCAGTTACCAGAAAGCCAATAAAACAACGCCATCCATTCATTAAGTTCTCTCAGTCATAGTTTTCATTGAGATTCCACTTTTTTGATCATTAATTAATGACACCGGTGTTACTATTATAATTAATAACATGAAAGAAGCCTGAGGTTTTTCGTTGTGGAGTTTGCATGTTCTCCTTGTGCACGTTTGCCTTCCACAGTCCTATAACATGACTTTTAGGTTAATTGGATTCTCTAAATTGTCTTTAGGTATGAATATGTGTGTGTGTTTCCCTCCGATGAACCGGCAAGCTGTCCAGGATGTATGCCGCCTCTTGCCCAGTGGCAGCTGGAGATGTGACCCTTCAAAGATCGGCGAGTGTAGACAATGGATAATTTGATTTGCTCATTTGTTGCCTTCAGAAGCTATAATATGTTCAATTGAACTTATTAAACCTATTTAGAAATCCACCAGTTCCTTCAGTCAGCCTCAAAAAGGTGGGTCTCATCTCTGCCATGTCCAGCCACTGACATCCTTACACTTATAAGTATCTAGATAGACTAACATAAGTAATAGTTTATTCAAAACGGACTGATTTAACTGTTGAAAACAAAACAGTCAAGTGAGAATAAATGCTATTGATCCCTGTAGGTTTGTAGTGAATGTAGAATGTGTAATAAAACCATAACAGGATAAGTTTAAAAATATAAACTATAGTCACACAAATGATTGCAGGATTACAGGATTGCTGTAATTTACAAGGATAAAAATTAAAGACATGTGTTGGACATCTGAACTTCAAGTCCCATTTAGTTAAAAAGTGTTTATTAAAACACAACACATGTCAGCACTCTATTAATACTGTAAGGTTGGCAGCTTATTAGTCAACACATACAGCAAACTGTTTGAAACTGCCAGGACAGTAGATTTCTTTAAATACGCAAAAAGTTAAAAGGCTGTGTTTCACAAACACAGATGTGCAATAACTGATAAACATTATGTGCTTTTTTTACTAAATGATAAATAAATGCAGCAGGCAACAGAAACAAGTCCAGGCATGATATGTCTGACATAATGAGTAGAGCTGTTAACAAGCACACCACTTTTGGCCTAGAAACACCTAAACCAATAACATGTACAATGTGTAATTCCTCAGCAGGTCAAACTTCAAAATATATATCTTTAAAAAAAAAAAAAAAAAAAAAAAAAAAAAAAAAAAAAAATTTTTTAACAAGAAAAAAAAGGGGGGGGGGATATTTAAAAAAGGGGGGAAAAATCAG